TGGGGAGAGGGAGGCTCGGTGCCATCTGCCCCCCACCCTCGTTCTCTCGGGGTAAAAGTTGAGGCTGGCTTCTTCCTTGGGCTACTTTGCGCTTATTCTTCGCCTTCTGGTTTTCCACCCCCCCAAAGAACAAGATGGAGAAGTCGGTGCTGTTTCTGTGCCATCTTGTCTGTTTTCTTCTAATAATCAGGAAAAAACCAGAAGTAAATCAAGGGCAGTACAAAGATATACATTATTGCAAACTTTTAAAGTAATCTGCAAAAACCTGCTACAACCTTGTCTTTAGAGTGGGTTTATATATGGCAAGGATAATAAAAGGGTGTTTCTGATGCTTAACATAAAAATGATATTTCTAAGACCAGTCCACATTTGGAGTGCCATTTTAACAAAAGCAATAGCCAGACTATGGATAGCAGTAATTTCTTTACATCTCCCTCCCAGAGTTAAGCAGTGTTTCTGACCACCTTGTATACTCTCACTGTGGTAAGCACTGTGAGTTTTGAAGTATCTAATTGGGATAAATCACAGAGAAAAGGCTATTGCTATCTCTTAAAAGCAGAGATAGCAAAGCTCTTGTACCTCTGCTTCTGTCTACAGAGCTGTACCAAGCTCAGGAACAAAGAGGAGAATGATGTGATGGGGAATTCTTTCAGCAAAAATTAATGTTGAGGGAGATGATTTTGCCAGGGCAGCCCTTCAGCAGCTGTCAACAGAGATACTGAGTATGAGTCCATGTATGCTGAAGCAGCTGCAGGCATCCTTATAGAAGTACAAAACCACTTTTTCTCTACACATGTAGCAAAATGTGTTTTCAGAGAAAGAAAAAATGTAATTAGTGTCCCAGTGCAGAGCTAAAGTGGAGGTAATCACATTATCTCTTCAGTTTCACATCTCTCTTCAATAGCAAGGTAAAGGACTGTCGTTGGTTTTGTCAGAACTTGGAATAAAAGCTTTTTTTTTTTTAATTTAATCTTATAAGGAATATTGAAAAGCTTTCAGAAATTTTCCAGTGGGAAACATTTTGTTCCTCTTCTGTGTTGCATTTTGATGTTTGCCACTCCTGACCAGGGAAACGAAGAGTGGAAAACATGGTGGTGCAAAACCAAGTTCAGAATCCATGAACAGTGTTTCAGACTGCTTCTTTTTGGGTGTTTTTCTGCAGAAATGCTGTTGAAAAACACTCCTGTTTTGAGACAAATGGTGCATTTTGCAGGTGTTTTCGTGGTGACTGTGAGGGCAGCGCAGGAGCACCGGTTTGTGCTCGCGTGCCCACGGCGCCCACTGGGCCGTGCTCTGCAGAGTGGTTTTGCAGGGCACACAAACATCTGCACACCCACACAGCCCAACCGTGCACGGTTTGAGCTGTGCAAGGAACATATGGCTGGGTTTGTTTACCCTCTGCTCATTTACCAGCCAAACTGTAGCAGTAAACAGAAGTTTGGTAATCATGTGGAAGCAAGACGGGTTTGTTCTTTCTCTCCTTTCAGAACTAATCTATGTAGGAAGTGGCAGTTTCTCTCCAGGTTTTGAAGTTTTGTTCAGCTAAATTTTGGTCCCAGTGCTATGGAATTTTAAGAAATTTATGGGACACTTGCATTTAAATGGTTACATTGGAACTGCAGTGTGGCACAAGTGATAGTATTTGGGAGGCAATACATACAGAAAGGCTTAATATCTTGATGAATTTTGAATGCTTTAGAAGACTAGATTTTATATTATTAACTTATTTGGCAGATTTAGGAGAATAAAAAGAATAACCCCAAATACAACAAGCAGCAAACAGTAGGGTACCTTTATCTCCAGGCTGTAAAAGCATGGCATGAAAAACAAAGGATCACTGAGAAAAGAACCAGCCTGCATCTTAAGGTTCTTTAGTAGTTATTTAATTTTTTTTTGTTTGAAATTAGTAACTGTGTAGCTGTTCATTTCAGCTAAGGACTAACTAGTTGCCAGGCTCCTTGCTCTTAGAACCAGTGATGTCCCACTGGTGCAGTCAGAGCTGTGCTGTGGGACACAAGAAGAAGGTTTGCAGATGGAGAGCTTTCCTTCCAGAGACACTGGTCAGTCAGAAAGGATGGTGCTTTTCTTTACAAACCTCTCTTGCCTTTCATCTAGGGGAGCCTGCTTGAGCAGGGAGGCTGGACTAGATGACCTCCAGTGGTCCTTTCCAGCCTTACCCATTCTGTGATTCTGTGATCTCCTTGTGTTGGGCTTTTAAGTCCCAAGTTTAGGACTTGTCTGTGATTTCAAGCTCATCTGATTGATGTGGGTGAAATGATCCAGCCCCATGCCCATGGCAGCCGTGCCAGTCCAGAGCATGGAGAGGGAGCACTCCTGCCAGCAGCACAGTGGTGGATCAGGCTGGAGCGGGTGTGGAGGAGCAGTGGGGAGCTGCTGCCCTTGTCCCTGGGGAGAGCTGTCCCTGTGGAGGAAGGGAGATAATTTGTACCAGTGTGTGTCCATATGGCTGCATTGGTGTAACTGTTGGGGTGAAAAGATCTCTCTGTCTGCTCTGCAGATATGCACAACCCTACGGAAGGGCTTGTGGGCACCTGGGGTGTACACCTCTGAGACAGAAACTTCCCAGCAAGGCCTTCTATGCTCTTCTTTCTGGAGAATTTGGACAAGGAGGTTGTGTTTGGCTTGGCCAAGTCTTGGCCTTTCTGCAGGTGTTTTATCTAGCTATGTAGAGGCTGTCAGGGAGCCCTTGAACACCTCAGATGGGGATTCCCAAGGTGGTTTCCTTTAGGGAATACACTCAGCAATGGTGAAAGCAGCTCCTTGCCCTTGGGACATGTTCCCTGCCCTTCTCTGAAATACCCTGAGAAGTGCTGGGAGCATGCACATGGCTTGGGAGCCTCTGGGGTGGGAATTACCTTTACCTGCTCCCCGGGCACGCTGGAGAGCCCCAGGCTGTGGGAATGGGATTCGGGATGGCCCCAGCAGCCCACAGGGAGTGTGGCAGGGGGCTGTTATAGTCCATTGTCCTACCAGCCACTCTTGCAGGTGCTGGTAGGACATATGTATGTCTACATAATATATGAAATATAATCAAAAGGATTGTTCCACAGAGTGATATGAAGATGGCAGAGCACACGCTGAGCAAACACACCTAAGGATGTTGCTGAGTGTGACGTCGCAGCCAGCTTTCCTCTTGGCTGGTGGAATCACTTTTATATTTATGTTCATTTGGGGAGATCTATAAATATATAAAAGAAAAAAACCTCATCATCAGGCAGCTGTAGATGAGTTTTACTAATCCACAAATTCATTATTCAAGCATGTAAAAATAGCTGGTCCTTGCTGAAAGTAGGGGATGATACTACAGGAGAGTGGCTGTTACTGGTGATGTCTCATTTGCATGGAAAATTGTGGATGCCTTATGATTACAGCCAAGATTGCCCCCCTCAAAACAAGCAGCATACAGTGTGGTTATTTAGCTTGATGTAAGCAGACAGATCAGAAAATATGTAAGTGCCTAATGGGAATATTTCTCATTAGCTCAATTGCCCCAGGCCAGAGGGGCTGGGAGACTCTGATGTATCTAAATGAGCTTTGCAGAGTTACAGTTCTTAAGGCTCTCTTCATCTACGTCAGAGCAATGATAAGTAAATGTGGATTCAGATGCCCTAGTAACGCTTGATAAAGCATGTTAGTGAAGGTGAAAAGTGACAGCCAAACCCAAAAATATTCTCAAGCTGGAAGAAAGGAAATTCACCATGATGTGGTTGGCGGTGGGAGGAGAAATTTGTGGTGTCGTGACTGTCCCCAGATGAAATCAGCAAATTCTGTTGTGTGTGTGTGTGTTTTTAGGGTCGTTCAATAGAAGAAAAAGAAATTCCCTCTACGTAACTGTGACTCTCCTCATTGTGTCAGTATTAATTCTAACGGTGGGCCTAGCTGCTACAACAAGAACCCAAAATGTGACTGTTGGAGGTTATTACCCAGGGGTTATTGTAAGTATAGAACTCCTAGGTAGGTCTAGAAAACTTATTGCCTACAAAGTCCCTTGTAATGCTGCAAATGTTATAAAGGGTGTTCTTGTCCTGAATATTTTGCTCAGTTACTTCATTGCCATTTGATTTATTTGTTTTATTATTATTTTGCACCTGCTGCTCATTCCCATGCAAAAATCACATCCAAATGGCAGCTTCCTCTGAGCTTAGGTAATAACTAATGCTTTTGAGCTAATGGTATGGCAGGTTTTATGTCAGTAGAAGGAACTATAGAACTTCTTTGTTTGCACAGATCACATTCAGCCCAGGCAGAAGTAAGGCAAAGAAGGACCACAGGTGCCAAGAGCAGTTGAGAGACCAGGTCTTGGAATACTGTTCACGTGACTTGTGGTGATAAAGTTCACTTGCCAAAGTGTTTAATGACTTGGAGTCCCTGGATGAGGAGCTGTGGCAGTTTGCCAGGGGAGCATGTACATCAAAGCCACGAGCACATCTATTTCTTCTGTTTTGTTATCAACAGCTGAAAGTGGGAAAGGACAATCTTGTAGCTTCAAATGGCTTAATTTAGAGAAGACTACTGGTGTCCAGCCTTCTTGCTATTAGATGTATATCCTCCTGCAGAAGCATAAGGGACAAGTACATCATGCCTCTCCCAGCATGAGCAAAGGTCTAACCCGAGCTGGAAAGCAAGTCCTGGTCTGTTCCTGTGCATGTCTGAGATATGCTCAAAAAGAAGCACTGAACTGCAGACAAAATGGGTGTCAGCATATTGAGTGTAGCTAGTAGCCCAGCTAGAGGTTTCTGGTCTAACAGCTGTGGAGTGCTGCACTTCTGATTTGGAGGCTTGAAACAGTCTAGATAACTAGGTAGAGGCTTGTTCTTGACTTATTGCTGTTTGATTTATTTGCCATGCATTGCAGATCTCAGGGAGCTTTATACTTCTCTGTGACCGAGTTCCTCTGTGGCTGAAGAAAGCCCCTTTACAGACCTTAGTGTGGAACGTTGTTACAGATTATGTTGGGCCTCTTCTGTTTAGGTTTTCTGGTTTCTCACAGTAACTCCTGCACTTAGGCCTGATCTTTTTTAAAGAGAAGCATAGAAGGAAGGTGTTGAGAAGGGTTTCAAACATTCCACACTTAGCCTACACCCTGTCAGCCTGAGCTGAACCTCGTGCTTCAGAGCAGGTCCTGCAGACTGATGCAGATGGGTTGAGTCTGTTGCTCACGTCCCCTTGACATCTCCTGTGCTATTTATGGACTGGGAACGTCAGCATCACTAACGCTTTTTTAGGACTTAGCCTACCCAAGGAATTAATGAATTCCTGGACTTGGGAAGGGCGCTGAGTTACTTTATTCAGAAGCACCCTGGCAATTTCTGTTTATCACCAAATTCTGCCTCTCGGTTCATTAATCCACTGTATGGTAATGTGTGATGACCTCACCTGTCTGCCTGCACAGGAAAACATTCCAGTGTGCTGCTGGATGCTTCAGCAGGTGCTTAAAATAGCTGATGTTTCATAACAAGCTGGGCTTTCTCCCTTTACTGGGAAAAAGGGCTTGCTGTGGTGCATGAGTACTCGGGGAGCTGTCCCCAAGCAGGTGACTTCCACAGCCCTGAAGAAGCAGCTCCTTGCAGCTCTTGTCATCCAGAACCTCACACTGCTGTTAGGCCTGTGTGCATTTCCCTCAGGGATTCTGTGCACTGTTAGTCATACCCTGAGTGCCCTGTGTTGGGAGGTAAGGTAAGGAAAACACAGAGCCAGAAGTCTCATCACTGCCACACCTCATGCACTGTTCTGTGCTCCTTCAGCTTGTGTTCCTTGGGCAAACACCTCTTGTGGAGGAGGGGACATGCAAAGAAGTGATGTCTAATGCAGGGGATTGTCTTCCCAGGCCTCTTCTTCCAAGGAAGGGCAGAACCGGGCACTGGAGACCATCCACACGAGTGGGATTTTGTTTGGTTGGGTTTTTTGAGGGTTTGAGGTTAGTTTTTTCCCAAAACAACTCAGTTTCTCATTGGTACAACTGGAGAAGCTGAATTAGAGGGTGCAGTGACATGTCCTGTAGACAGGCTACCCTCACCCTCCTCCATGACCACCCAACTTTCATGACTACATCAGTGAGCACCCTGGCTGTGTCTCTGTGGGAAATGTCCTCACCTGTGCCTGGATGACTGAGCTGGGATAGAGAAGCCTGGAATATAGCAGTGGTGCTCAGCAGACAAGAGTAATGATCAGGTGCACAGGGCAAGCACCCTTGTGAAGTGAGACTGTGAGATATGTGTGTTGTCTCCAAGTTACAACAGCTTCCAGAATCTGTGTAAGTGACTGACCTTTCTTATGCTTTCACTGGCAAACCTCTTCTGTAGTGGTTCCTTGCCAAGGATGTTGGCTTCGGGCTGGAAAAGTGCATTCATTTTGTGTCCTGTCCTCCTTTCAAACAGGCATCCCAAGGCATCACATCCATCAGCAAATTAATGATGCAGTTGATGCAGATTCCTAAGATCTCTTTGTCCCATCCATAGAAGAATGAGTAGTTTTTCCATTAACGCAATGAGAATTCCTGTTAAGGAGAATCCACGGATTTATTTGGTCTTCACCTGTTGGATGTACAGACTTGCTGTAATTTCTTCTTTTTGAATTACCTGAGATTATCTGAGGTATTTCACCTTTTGATTTGAAGCTGCTCTGAAAGACCACGTGGATATTTCTCTTATGGATAAAGCTCAAAGGGCACAAAACATTTTTCTTGAGCATTTGCCTTGGGTGTGTGTTGCCTGATCAGCTGCTCTGCTTTAAGCCCTGCTGTTTGAGCCAGCTGCTCTTGCTGCCCACGGCACTGCACCAAAGGTTACTGGGCTTAAGCAGGGCAGAAGAAGATTTAAGACCAACTTTTCATCACGTTTGTGTCTTTTAATCTCTGTATATGCCTCTGCCTGAAAGTATTTGGCTTATTAACTCTTTGTTTTCTATTCCTGGCTCTTAAAATACCGATTCCAAGTTGGTTGGCTCATTCTTGAATCACTGCAGTTTGTCTTGTGCTTTGTTCTGCTTCCTGGGGAGTTGGCCAGTTACTGGGTGTTCTCACCCAGATCTTCACTGTCCCTTGGTCTGTTGTCTGGATTTGCACCTGCTTAATATGACAGGTCCAACTGTAGGACTTCTCTGGCATTTCTCATTTTGCCGACCCATGGAAGTGGAGATGGATGTGCTCTAGACCAACCAGAGACCTTTCTTGGCGTGACACAGAAGTACTTCTGCATCTCCCCTCGTAGTCTGGGGTTCCTCCTTGAAGTCCCTGTTTCTGGCCTGGCTGAGGTGTGCTCTGTCCTGGAAACTTCTCCTTAGTGTAGCTAAATAGCTTAAGGCTGTGGAGAAAGGAGGTGGAAAATCACACTCCTGGATGACTTCACTGAGCTGAAATAAGTGTTGTCAGTTATGGCAGCAAAAAAAGATGCTTTTGCTGCAGTAGCTTGTTCTGTTGGCTGGGTTGGCGTGAGCTCTTCTGGTAGAAGACCCTGGTGAATGCATCCTCACCCCTGGGAATGAGGGAGGAGTAGGAGAAGGCAGAAAGCTGCTAAATCTTCTCAAGTATAAATCTCCCTTATTTCATACTTCGCATCAAGAAAGTCTCTGAGTTAAAAACTGAGGTGATTGCTCACAGGCTCGGTGAGGCTACAGAACCTGGTCCTGCAGATGTTAGTGCCGTGGTCCTGCAAGCTTTGCATCTGGAGAGTCCTGAGTGTTGGTAGGGTTGTTCCAAGACAGCAATGCATATCCTCATCCACCAGCCATTACTCAGCATCACTGGGGCGGGGATGGAATTCAGAACTCATCCTTTTGGTTTCTACACACGCTTTTAGTGCCATATGTGGGATACACCTGATAGTTCCTGCTAGTGAGACTCCACTGGTTTCTTGCTAAGGAAGAGTGCTCACACATCCACAGTATGTTCTCTTGCTGCTTCTGGATTTAAATGTGTTCTGTCTGTATACAAAATATGTTGGGTATCATCCTGATCTAAATGCTAACAATACATTGTTTTTCAGCTTGGTTTTGGGTCGTTTCTTGGAATAATCGGATCAAACTTGATAGAAAACAAAAGGCAAATGGTAAGTTCTTTATAGAAACTTCTCTAAAAAATGACAGTAACTCAAGTATTGTATGTAAATAGTATTATTGGTTTTCCTAACTCTTCCAGGGTAGTATTGCATACCTCTTGAGAACTAGAGATGGTTTCTGGCAGCCCAGGAGAACAAGGCTGTTAACTCTGCTATTTTTAAATTAAAAAAAAGAAATGCTCAAGGAAGCACAGAGTGACTATACACAGCCTCACTGAACTTGGTGGGATTTTTTTAAGGAGCTTGAAATTGAGCATTTGGAGTTTTCAGGATAGTCAGTGCTTCACAGGCTCATGCCCAGGGCTTTTTCTTTTGAGCTATCTCAGTATGTGATACATAATATGGTAAATAAGATAAAAATAATATAGTTATTTTAAGTCTTCTAAAATAAATACTTTGAAGCCCAGAACTCTAGAAAAATTGCTTTTGGCCACTTTCTATTCTAAGCAATGGTTAGAGGAGAAGATCAAGCAGTTGGTGTAACAGCCAGTCTGGAGGTGAAATCCCCTAGAGAGCCCAGCAGAAAGTCCTTCCTGAAGACAGGAGTGCTCAGAGCTGTCTGCTCTACAAATGTCTACAGAGTAAGTCACTTGAGGTATCATCATGACAAAAAGCATGAAGACTGGTGTAACTGAAAAGCAGCCAATCTCTCCAGCACTGCTGATTAACACACTTGTTGCTGGTTCCTGTTTCCAAACACCTCTTCCAGTGAGAAGGAAAACCAAGAAACTTTGCATACTGTAGAGCAGCAGTTGGGGACCTCAGAAACACAGGAGGTGCTGGCTAGACCAGGTGTGCAGCCCACAGTGCTCTCGGGTTCCCTCCTTGTGCTGCAAGGGGGGTTTTGTGTGCTGGGGCTGGGAGCAACATTCAGAAGAGAGCAGGTGGGCAGTGAACATGCAGATAGCACAAACCAGGGGAGATGAGATCACAACTGAGCTTGTGCTGGGGTGGGAGGGGGTCTCTCTGTGGATTGGGGATGGAGCTGGCTCAGATTACCCCTCTTGGCAAGCACAGGACACTTGGCTTGCCACAGGACACCTGTGGACTTGTCTGGGTCTCTGATGGCATCTTGCAGATGCTGTTTCACAAACTCCACACCTTGATGCCCGTGCCTGGAGGTAGGGGCTGTAGTGCTTGGAGACATCAGTAACAGGGCTTAGGGCAGGGGGAAGGCTTTTTGGAGAATTTAGCAAAAGGTGGGGGTAGAGAAAGATCAGTAGAAGTTGGTACCCAATACTGTCCTGGCAGGCTGTCGAGCTCAATCTTTCCAAGCCTATTTCCTCTGCTTGCCCACACATGGCTGGCCAGAGGTAGCACGTGGGGAGGAGCAGTCCAGCTCCTGGAGCACCCTGTGGGCAGATCTGTCTCCTGCCTTGGCTGGGCTCTCCCAAGAGAGTGGCTGCAGTCCCCCTCCCCGGTGTTTTCCCCATGCTCTGGCAGCAAGATCTCTCCAACCTTCTGGTGTGAGGCAGCAGAGGGCTGAGGGAGGTGGTGCTGTCCCTGCAGCCTGTCCCACTGGGCTGCTGCTGCTTCTGCAGGGATGGAGCTGCCTCTGGGAGGGGGCCCAGGGGTCAGATTAGCAGGGTGTGCTGCTGACCGAGGCTAAGGCGTGGTGGCCAAACTGCAGGGGGAAATGGGAGAAATTCCTGCCTGTCCAAATCCAGAAGCTCGGCTGTGCTGCCTTAGCCTTTGCTTTGCAAATAGCAGGCTCCCTGCTGAGCCAGAGGGAGAGGGTGAGGCAGACCCTGCAGGAGAGGACATCTGCCTTTCCCACAGTCAGACAGGGTGCAGGGGAGGTGAGTTTCCCAGTGGATATTTTTTGTTGTTTTCACCCTGGCTCTGTAAGAGCAACATGTCCTGTTCTTTCTGTCCTAGTGGGGTTTCAGCCTCTTGCTCATCGTGTATTAGCAGCATGTCAGCGTCTGGTTGAGCAATGACCATGTTGTGCCAGTCCTGGACCCTTCACAGGAGTGCCCACGAGTGCCAGCATGGCTCTGACTTGACTATTTGGTTATTCTGAAGAGCCCTGGGTAGCCTGTGTTTGTTCTTTTCATCTCTATCATTTTGTGTCCTAAAAAGCACACATGACCCAGCTCTGCAGGGATTGCGTCACTGCTGCCTCGGCCGGCAGGAGCGTGTCTCTGCTCTGACCGCAGAGAGGACATGCAGTAGCTGTCACTTATTGCCCCTGTGCTTTAGTCACACCTCCTCCTTGCCCAGGGGCAGCTTTGTCCATTACATGTTTCCATAATGCCACTGGCAGCGCAGGATTTATTTTTTTTATCTCCTGTGAGCTTCCCCAGTGTCCTAGTTTGCTAAAAGGCAGTCTGGGTCTGGCTTGTTACGCAGCTGGTGGCAGAAAAAGCTAAAAGCAACTTCTGCAGCCGTGTTCTCGTGCGTGTTTCTGTCCGTCAGGTGACTGGGGAGCGTGAGGAGTCGAGTGAGCAGGGAGAGCTAAGCTGAAGCAGCACTCACTCCTCACTTCTCTCCTGCCTGCCTTCAGGAATAGACCTCTCTGTTTTTTCCCACCCAAGCATATTGACTGCCATGCCATACATCTGCACTTCCCACTTGCCAGAGGAAAGGAGAGCTCTCGTCCCCCCAGGGATGCCGGCCCTGCAGGCAGCTCTGGCCCAGCCCAGCTGCCCACTCAGCAGTTTTCAGCTGAGGAGTCAGGGGTTTACAAGGAGTCAGGGGTTTACAAGGAGTCAGGGGTTTACGTGCCTTTATGACAGTCATCCAGGCCAGGGAAAAGTGAGAACCAACAGCTTCACAGCCCATGAGTGGCTGTACCCTCACCTAAAGGGATCCTCAGCCCAGGACACTCCTGCTTCCTGGTTCCTGCACTGTCCAAACCCAGTTTGTCTTTTCTTGTCTGAGTGCTACTTGGTGTGGCTGACTTCATCAAGAGTTAGGTGAGTGAAGACCAATCAAGAATATCACTCAGCTCTTGAGAGGGGCTTCTGCTTGCTACAGTAACAGTATTAAGCCCAAATCAAAGATCTTAGTGGCAAGTTGAAAACTGAGATTTTTAAAAATTAATTTGTATATTTCTATTTGCTGTTTGATTTTTCTTTATCATAAATTCTTGGTGTTTGGTTTTCAGGCTTTTCTTTCTCCAGCTGAGAGAGAGGAAACTGTGTAAATAAAGTGAGCAAACCCATTTCTAGCATTAGATCCTTATCTCTTGGTAGGGCTGTTATGAAAGTATCATCATTAACCTTGTATTTATTTTAAACAACCATATTAGCAACCATGCAAGCAGGCATGACCAACAAATACCCTAATTGTATATATTTAGTGTTTGGCTCACTTCCCATCTCCAAGGCTCATGCTATTTAGGGAAAATATCCTCTTTCATGTATGTATGAAAAAAAAGGACAGTACAGAGGAAAACCAAACTTGCTACAAAATAACCTAAGCCATAAGCCCCATTCTTCCACTGAGACTGTGAGAAGCTGCACCTTCTCCCCTTGTGTAATTTCACTGGTTTGGTTGTGAAACAGGGTGACTGTGATGGATAATGTGAGTTGGGATCCAAATGTGGAGATGCTGGGGCTGAGTGGGGAGGAAATGCAGGTGTTTACAGCAGACAGAACCAAGGTCCCAGTGTAGGATCTGATCCTGGAAAACTTGTCACCTGCTGCCATCTGCAAGTAGTTTGTGGCACAGCATCTAATATTCCAGTAGCAGCCTAGTGGCTGTGATGTGTTCATGTGGTCACTGGGATAATTTCACAGTCTGCTCCGTCTGCTGCTGCAGGTTTTATGTCTATGCCTTGAATACTTGCCTCATCTAGAAAACCATTTTATTTTCTCTCATTTTGAAGCTAAGTTAAGTCAGCAATTGTACAGGGACCATTTCCACTGTCCCAAGCAAGCCCTCCTGCATCCCCACTCATTTCTCAAGCTGACCTGTTCTGCACATGGATGTTCCTGGAGGAAGGCCTGTTTTCACTTAGGGAGATCTAGGTAAAACCGGTGTGATTAACCTAAAAATCCTCAGGTACTTTAAAAATACACATAGGATCCTTCTGGATTGTGTTAGGGAAGAGTTAAGGACAGCAGCAGCCAGAAGAGGAGGTGTATCCTCAGCCTAAGTTTAGCCTTTTGGAGTCATGGAAAAACCTGCCTTACTATCTCAAGTGCCCAGAGAACCAGTCTGGCACAGTGCTGCCGCTCCTGCCGCTTTGCCAGCAGTGAGAGCAGGCTGTGCAGCCCAGGCAAACATTGGGGTCATTGATTGCTTGAGGGCTTATTGACTGTGGTTTATGTATCCTTGTGGAGAGGGCACAAATCACTTGGTTGTGGAGAGGCAGATGATACTTTGCTTTGTTTTCCTTTCTCAGCTGGTTGCATCGATCGTCTTCATCAGCTTTGGTGTCATTGCTGCGTTCTGCTGTGCCATAGTAGACGGTGTCTTTGCTGCCAGACACATAGTAAGTGCTTCCAGGAAAACACAGGTCCTGCAATGCTTTTACTCTAGGAAAGCAAGTGATGGTGTCTGCAGTCCTGTATCGGGACACATCAAACCCTGCAAATATACACCATGTGCTGAATGCTGTTTCAAATCATAAGCTTTAGAAAAATGTATCTTTTTTAAAAAATATTTTTAAATTAGCATGAAGAATTGAGATCTTAAAATTTTTGTGTGTGTGCTTTATGTGTTTACTGAGTCTCACAACTCTTAAGATGTAATGTGAATTACAGCTATCACCAAGGGATAAAATATGACCAGTAACATCTATTTTGTTTTAAATGTAGGCAGAGGTAGTTCTTAATGCAGAGTCAACCACTGAATGTTGTAGTAGAATGAAGCAATTTGATACAAAGCTCATTAAAGCATTAGAGTATAAACAGGAAACAGTTGTTCTCAGTTTCCATTTAGTGACTTAAAAAAAGGATGAGCTGCTGCTGTCACGACCAATCACTAGTGCAGTGGCAAGTTGGGGTGGGGGGTGCCATGGCTGGGATGGTACAAAACAGTCTCTAAGTTTCCCCAGCCCCTTTAGGTGGTCTTTTTGGTTTAGCTGCAGTACTGATCCTGGTGCCTTTCCCCGGCAGGACCTGAGGCCGCTGTACGCGGGGCGATGTCAGTACTACTCCAAGAGCACGACCCCGCCTGAGGTGAGAGCAGGTTTGGCTCTGCTGGCTCTGAAGGGGCAGCTTCATGGTGCAGGTGGAGGAACCTGCTGCCAGGAGTCTGCTCCAGTGTCCTGGAGGTCTGAAAAGTGAGGAGGGGGTGGGAGGCTGGGCCTGGGGTGGGAGGACTCAAGGAGGTGAATTCCTCCATGCTTGGTACTGCCTCATTAGTGAAGGAGCAGGTGGAGAGGAGGGGATGGGGGATAGGAAAATACACCAGTTTCTCTAGATCTTCAGCATTCATTATGGGATTAGGGTGTGGGTTAAGAGTTCAGACAGCTGTAATTTCTGTGGGTTTGAGCAACATGTACGAGCCTCTGCACCCCTGCTGTTGTATTCTCCAAAGAAAAGCCTCTCAGGGCTCCCAAGTTCCCAAGTAGTTTTGAATAACCACTATATTCCAAATTAGAATGCCTGCTTGAGGTGCAAAGTTAAGTACTACTCAGCAGCATTGCTGGGGTCCACTCTCTTTTCAGGCCAAAGCCTGTCCATGTGAGCTTGGGTGTTACCACCCATGGGCAGACAATGACCACTTTGGTCAGTTATGCACCAGTATGGAATTCTTGCTCTCAGTTTGTACCGTGCTGTTGGCAGCTCTGTTGCTGTGTGGTGAGCTGTGTTCGTTCAGCAACAACTCGACTGCCTGTAAGAGCTGCAAACCCCCTTCCTATGCAGGCGTGGGCTTGTCTGTGAGTTCCCCACTGTGAAAGGAAATGCTGGTCTGTTCTAGTCTAGTACATCTTTATTCCAGTAACTGTGGACTTTGCAGGAGCAAGATAAGGAAAGAAAAATCTGCCTGGGGCTAATCTGGAGATCAGTGCAAAATCTACATGTAGAGCAAGCCAAATAGCAGCAGAAACTGTTTGAGGATGTCCCAATATGCTTTATGTATTTTTCTCTGTGTTCACACAGGCGATCTGTCACCCACAACGCCGTGCCCCCTGCACACCAAAAATAAAAACCAATACCTGCTTCTGCTGTGACCTGTACAACTGTGGGAAGTAAGCCAAAAATGCCATTCCTGGCCGTGGGAAGGGCAAGCAGGTGTCTGCCTTGCAGGTGTCTGGCAGGCCAGGACAGTATCGGTTAATGACAGTTGTTGTGGGAAGGGATCTTAAGCTGTGGTTACCAGCCACCAGGAGTCCCAGACAAAAGCTAACCAAATAAAGGGGTGTGTAAACACACCAAAGCCATCCCAGCTGTGGGTGAGCATGCTCTGGGCCAGCCCAGCTGGAAAAATGAAGAGGACAGGAGTTTCCATTGCTTTTGTGCTTGGTGTCCTCCCCAGTTTCCCCCCCTACTGAGTGTCACCTTCCTTCTGTTGGCACTGCTTGTTCCCTGGGTCTTATTTTGTTTTAGATGGTTATTGGTGTAAAAACTGGGACACTGTTCTTCCTCTCCTTGTGACCGTTTCATTCCCCACCCTGCCAACAGGGAGGAGAGTTCACAGGCTGGTGTTCATAAACCTCTCTGCCCATTTCTGAATATTGTTTATGGTCACAGAGGGTTGGAAGGTGAATCAGCACTGTGCAATGAAGAGTCAGAAGGTGGTTACCAATCCAGAGCCACTGCAGAGTGATCACACCAGCTAGATCAGGCTACTGTGCCTAAGCCAGCTTCATTTACAGCATGTGCTGCTTATATCATGTGGAGTCTCTAATGTGTGTCAGCAAGCAATTAATAAATTGATTTTTTTAGTGCTCGTTCTTGCCTAGGGCTGTTCCAGGCTTAGCATTTCTCACAGTACTTAGCTGGGCTGGCCCCCACTTAAATCATTGACTGTGGTGGAGGAAGATCAAAAGCTGCTGTTGGGAGAGGGTAGGTGGTTCCCTGTGCTGGGAGTGATCCCTGGTCTTTGTAGGACTTTGTGTCTGTGAAAGCCGTTGCAGAGGGGCGAAGCTCACACCTTCCTTTAGCAATTTACAGAACATTATCCCTTTGTACTGGCTGAAGAGAGGGATTCACAGAGACAGTGTTTGGAATAGAAAAGCTTGAAACTTTTCTGTATTTCCCTTTCTTTGGGTTTTGGGGTTTTTTGTCCCCAGGCAGGCTGGTTCAGGGTCCTGCCTCTGACCCATTTTCTCCTCTTTGATACAAGATACTAGTTGTTACCATCTTAATCTTGCTTAACACCACAAAAATATCCTTCACTGAGGAGGTGCTGGTTCTTTTGGGATCTCATTAAGAAAGGCATGGACCTTCAAGACCGGTTAGTGCACATGTAAAGGATGGAAAATGCAGAAAAAGTGATGGCAGTCTTGCATCCCTCCTGATGTCTGGCTGTGGCAGCAGAGGATGAGCCCCTTCCCTTGGATAAGTACATGCTGTATGTCTCTGAACAGTGCAGAATGTTCTCCTCAGTGCACCAAGGCTGGCTGAGAGCTCTGCACTCTGACACATCTCCATAGGAACAAGCTCTTGCCAGCAGCACATGCAGGTTGTGTTGTTGGAGGCGGTCACGGTGTGTGCTCGGGGTCACACGGAGGTCGTGCCAGCAACGTGCAGGTTTTTGTGACCTGTGCTTATGCTTGAAAGCCCTGTCTCCTCGTTGCAGTGTCTCCTGCAGTGGCCTGCTACAATGAAATACGGAAAAAGGAAAGGAGAGAAGTCAAAGTTGAGTAATGAGGGAAGGAGCATGGCTCTTGTGAAAGGGGACAGGTCCTGAAGGCCTTGCAGAGTCTGTTGGGGACCTGAGCCTGGATCTCCTGCTTCTTGACCTTCAGTATGAGCCTGTTCTTTCCCATTTCCTCAAAGCCCTTGTGCAGTTTGAGCCTAACCCTGTATGTGAGCTGAGAGACAAGTCATTCATAAGCTCTTAATATTGTCTGTCCCTGATAAATATGTTTTCTGAAGGGGAATTTGCTGTAGCCCACTACATCTGGTATGTTATGCTGAAGGCCAGCCTGTGTCCTGCCCAGCAGGCAGAGAGAAGTCATTCCTGAAGAATCCCTGTAAGGTAAAATGTATGCAGGTATTCTTCCCTGCATATGCCAAGGCAGTGGAAGGATTAAAGAAAGGGTTTATTTCAGATGCAAGGACCATTTATTAATGATGCTGCGCACTGGGCCCCCAGGGGAAAAAGGCAATGCCCTGCCTTCTCCAAGGCTCTTTGTATCTTCTCTCTCTTCCCCCACCCTCTCTGTCCAGAGGAGGCCTTGTACACATCTGCAAAACCCGTGTTATCTCTCTGCATACCTGGGAGATAGCTTGCTCACAGCTTCTCCCTGCAGCTTTCTGAAATGCAGAAGGAAGGAAAAAAAGAACATCTAACCCGTTTTAGAAGGCATTTTGCAGTCTTCCTAAGTGAAATCAAGTTCTAGCTTTCCATCACAAATTCTTCCAAACTTGTACCTATCCCTACAATCCCGCTGCAAGACTCCAGCCCACGTGTTGCAGGAGCTGCTTTTCCTTTTCTAGAATAATGACCTCGCTGGATCCCACCAAGTTTTCTCTATCTCTTTTCTGCATGTGGAAAAGCTTAAAAATGCAAGCAGAAAGACCTTTCCCTGCCAGGGTGCCAGGCTGTTTTAGAGACTGCTTTGTCCTTGGGAAGCCTGCAGGACCTCTGGAGATTTCAGATGATAGAAATAACCGGCAGATTCAGACTCAAGGATATTTGGGTGTTTGCAGGCCTTGCTTGTTTCAGAGCACATCAGTCTTCTGCTGTCATTGTGCAGGGAGATCTTGGATGGCACAAGCGTGGGATCTACCACTCCCTTGGTAGTCAGGTCCAGGCTGTCATTGAATTGCAGAATGCATTTTACTGTCCAGCAGAAGTACTCAGGTTTTCGATGCGTGGTGCAGTTTTTTTATCATTATTGTTTTTCTTTCCTAATCTAGCAGAGTGGAGATTTCTGGAGGCTACTATGAATACATTGATGTCAGCAGCTGCCAGGACATCATCCACCTTTACCACTTGCTCTGGTCAGCAACAATTCTGAACATAGTGGGGCTATTCCTGGGGATCATTACAGCAGCAATCCTTGGAGGCTTTAAAGACATGGTAAGAGGGTATCAATTTCTCTGTATATTAAGGCAAAAAAGCTCAGGCAAATTGCCTTTTAAAAATAATCATGAGAACAGCTATTAGTATTTCCATGCAAATTATCTATGCATCACTGCAATCAGGATGAAAAGGAGGGCAGGAAATAACTGTGAGGGGAAAGTGGAAGTGATTCACTTTCTGATCTCAAGTCACCACCTGAGCACAGTTAGAAAAGATGAACAGAATTAGGAGGTTGTATTTTCAAAAGGAACCTTCTCAGAGGTGTTGGCAATACCAGGATGAATGAAAATAAGCTCTTTCTTAAAAATTGATCTTCTTTTCATAGCGTTCTCATTCTATAAGGAAATGTGTGGTGGTTGCTCATGAATTGTTGATTTTATAGCAGTAGTAGGGTTCTGAGCTTTACAGACTGTTAAAGCAGCTGTGTTAGGCTGAAACTCTCCATCTGGTTTCTTCATGGTGTGGAATCTGGAAGGGTGAACTGGGGATCAAAACCAAACTTCAGATAATGGAGAAAATGCTGTTCTGACAACATGAGCTTTGAAATACCCTCACTTGACCAAGCTACCTTCCATACAGTTTTGTTCTGAAAGCACAAATCAGTGGGGAGAGCTGAACATTCAGCAGATACACTTGGGGTTTTTTCAGTCTCTTGTGACTCATTTGGAAAAATACAAAATGAGACACACAGAAAAAGAGCATTTGTTGTCCTGGCTATACATTTTTCTTACAAAGAAATCTTGGACCCTGCACTAAGGGTGCCATATTGCAGAACTCTGAACTCTTTTCAGACTCACCAGTATCTTCCCAAATAAAATAGGAGACACATTCCCAGCTGTGCATTGGAGCCCTTTGAGATTTGATCCACACCAGAGAGCCTCTAAACCTCTGCAAAAAAAAAGATGCATAGAAGTGTCTGTGAACAGCAGTACAAGAGGATTTGAAATATCTCAAAATGCACTGAATAACAGAGTAATCAGAATTAATGGGTCATTTCTCCTACTTGTGAAGATGCAAATCTGTTTTGTCTGAGTGCTGGTGTGCACTGGGCTATTACCAGCTTGTTCTGTGGCATCTGAGAGGAAGCAATGAGTGGGTGATGAATGAAATGACCTTGGGACTTAGCTGCTGCCCTGAGAGGGAACTGGATTGCCAGTGGCTAATTCAACAGAATTGAGGTCTAAAGACACACAGTGCTCCTCTAAATCATTTCTGCTTTCATTCAGCTGTCAGCTTTCCATGACTTGGTTAGCAGCCTGAAATTCTCTTCTTTTTGTTTTAACAGACTCCTTCCCTCCCTACGCTGAACTGTACGGTTGAAAATGCACACCCTTCAGTGACCTACTACTCAAGGCCACAAGTGACATCTTACAACACCTACTACCACAGCACTCCTCACCTGCCTCCCTACTCTGCATATGACTTTCAGGTGGGGAATGTTACAGGATGTTTTCTTGTTTAGCAGCAAGGTTAAATCCAGCCAGTCCTGCAGGACTCTGGAGACCTGCCTTCCCATCATTCACACAGTTTAATTTTCTTGTTCCTGCAGAACATATCCAATCTTTCCTACTAGGTAGGAAAGACTAAGTCCTTGGTAGTGCTCTCTCTTACTAAGGCAGTATTTTCCTGAAAGCTGTCTTTGAAGTGAGGGCAACAGAACCTGCTGCCTGCCTGCCTTCCCCACCTCTCACTAGTAGAGGCCACATGAAAAATAGGCATTGCCTCTGGCACTGCAGTGTTCTGAGGAGAGAGGCAAAGCCAGGTGTTCAGGTGCTAGATTTTATTGGGCCAACTACTGTGTCTGAGAGAAACAGATGAGCTTTTGGAAACAAGCTATTTGAGCTCCTGAAGAGACATGATGCCTCAAAAGCTATCGTGTGGTTTCTTTCCACATGGTTCAGCTAGTCTAAGGGTGGTCTCTGCAAACAGCACCTCTGCTGTAATGCATCCCTTCCTCTTTGAATTATGGAGCTGTGCTGTTGGAAGTGGTGTGTTCACGTGAAGCTTTCAGCTCTCACTGGTGAAGCAGATGAGGACATTTCCTCCTCAGCTCCTTTGTCAAGTGGATGTTACCACAGTGGTGATGATAACACATCATACATTTTCTTTGCAACCATCAGGGCTGAAGACTTTTTTTTATTAACAAGAGGTTAAGGTCTTAGAAATCAGCTAAGAGGTGTGCTCTGTGGTAGCCACCATCTCCCTCATCAGAGCCATGCATAAGAGTTAAATCTAAACTTTTCTGGTTTTACTGCTAGTGGCACTAGACAACACTGCTGTCAGGGCTTCCTAGGTATGCTTGAATACTTATATCACAATTTCTAGGATTTATGTATACAGATTTGTGATGCATTTTTGAGATTAATGAAACCTGGGACAGTCACTGGCATCGTATCACTTACAAAAATGCCAACATCAGTGCATACCAAACCAAGCTCGTCTGCAAAGTCCTCTTCTCAGCTTCTCAGCAGTTCTAAGTGCTGTCAGACTCAGGATTTGTCAGTACAGTAGCCCCAGTACCTGCAGAGAGCTCAGCATGGGTGGATTTTCCTGCTTTTTATCTGGAAGTACTGCTGGGCTCTGCTAACACTTAGAGCTCAGCTGGACGGATCAAAGTCTCAGGGTCTCAGTGCTGTGAGCACAGGTGTTGGCTTAGGAGTCAGCACAAAAGCTGGGCATAAATTCAGGTAATCTAAATTTAATATAGCCAAGTCTCTCTTTGAGATGCAATTCCAAGTCTGCGCTTTGTGTATCTTCCAGGAAACTTGAGGGCCTGCATGAGAGCCTTAGCTGAGCCTCTGGCTGTGGAGACTCTCTTGCCTTGAACCCTGCTCTGCTCCAAGCAGTGACTGTACCACCCTGACACCCTCTTCTCTGCCATCCTGCAGCAGACAGAGCAGGCCCAGCATTGCCTCTCAAATTCCTTTCAGAGGATGCATTGCCTCTGGTGCAAGAGTGCTTCCCACTCATCCCACAGATGTTTTTTTCCTTCACAGGAAAAAAACCAGCACTATTCCAGAATTTCTGAGGAAGCCTGTGCCCCTGCAAGAGCTTTCACACACAAATCTAAAGTGGCAGACCCAGCTCTCTGGTTTTTGGGAGAGCTGGTGGGTGTTGCAGCAGCCACTACTTGTGCCATCGCTAATGACACTCCACACTCCTCCAGTGGTGAGGAAGGCACCAGGCCTTTGCAGGGGGCTGTGATGGGAACTGGGCAGAAGGAAAAGGTCCTGGTGGAAGCAGTGCCATCTTACTCCTCATTGCGTTCTTGGTTGGGGGCAATTGGGTGAGAAAGCCTCAGAGTTTTGACTTCCACAGGCCCTGAGCCACGTTTGGCTCTGACAGGAGAGCGCAGGCGAGCGTTGACCTTCTCTGCCTTTCACCCTCTGTTGAAGGAGGAATTAATGCCATCTTCCCATGGGCACTCCCATGCCCCTGACAGTGCAGTGCAAATCCTCCTCCCACTTGCCAGGGCCTTAAGCCAGGAACATTTGGGATTTCAGTTTGTGCCACAGCTAAAGGGTGGTGGAGGGGTGTGTGGTGCCTGGGCTCTGCCCCAGTGTTTGCTGGTGTGTCCAGGCACCACCAAACACTGTTTGCTCTGCAGGTGGCCTGTTCAGGGGGGCCAGGTGGAAAACAGCAGCACAGGGGCACCACGGCTGTCTGGGGCAAACCCACCGTGTATTAGTGGCCAGAAGAGTTGTTGTGGTTTGACCTCAACCAGTTGTGCCCCACACAGATGGGGTGGGGGGGATCAGGGAGAGAATCAAAAGTGAGAAAATTCGTGGGACAGTAAAGCAAAGGCCATGTGCACAAGCAAAGCATGAAGCCACATGGTCTGGGATATCCCTTGGGTCAGTTGGGATCAGCTGTCCCAGCTCTGTCCCCTCCCAGCTCTTTGTGCCCCCCCAGCCTCCTCCCTCGTGGGGTGGGGTGAGAAGTAGAAAAGACCTTGGCTCTGGGTAAATGCTGCTCCATGATAAGGGAAACATCCCTGAATTATCAACACTGTTTCCAGCAGAAATCCAAACCACAGCCCCCTACCAGCTGCTATGAAGAAAATTAACTCTTTCACAGCCAAACCCAGCAGAGGCACAAGTGGAAATAACAGAATTGTTATTTGTATGTACACGTTTTGCAGAGGTGAACCTTGCACTGTTAATTTTGAATTGCTTGGTAATCAAGTATCACTTTGCTGAGGTCCTTGACATTATGAAGTGGTTACATTACAGCCTTCTTGCTGTCTCTGCAGCATTCCAGCGTGTTTCCAGCCTCCACTCCCTCTGGCCTCTCCGATGACCCCCAGTCCATGTCGCCATCTCCCAGCTATATGTGGGCCTCTAATGCGCCGCCTCGTTACTCGCCACCGTATTTTCCCCCTTTTGAAAAGCCACCACCTTACACACCATAAAGAATGTGGGAAAGAAGACAAAAATGCTTGCCATCGAAATAATTGTGAACATTTTGTATTTATATTTTACTGTGGGAGGCAGCAGGAGGATAGATACAGAACAGAATTGCAAATACAAATATTAGATTGGACTGTTCTTTCTTGCGAGACTTTGTTTCAGAAGTTCAACAATGGCCTGTGACAGAGGGGACAGACTGCTGATGTTTTAAAGTGTTGGTGAGTAGCAGGTGACCTAAATGTCAGCCTCTTTGGTTCATGTAGTCCTTGATTTTTAATAAAGTGATCCAACACAGATGACAGATTCTGGTCTGCCTTACTCCATCTTGTGCCAAGCTGAAGTAAGGGCAGCCAGGATCGATAGGAGCCAGAGACTATCAGTCTGTTTAAGGTGAGGGTGCTCGCAAACAGTGTGACTCGACACTGGTTTTGTTTGGCCTTCAGGCTCCAATTGCTGGGATTTTGGGCAGGGAGGCACAGGACTTGGCTCACATCACTTGTTGGTTACAGCCTACACACTGGAAAAATCTTGGGGGAACTGCAACAGTGTCTCAAACTTCAACCCTATTGAAAAGAGGTAACATCCTAGGATAGTCTCGTAGATTGTAGCAAAATAACTGGAACAATGCTTTTTTGAGGGGGGGAATCTTTAATAGGCAAGCTGTTTTTATTTCAGAATGCTTCTTCAAGTGAAATGGAAGGTGAAATGGAGTTGTCTCTCTCTGAATTCTGTGTAAGTAAAGCTGAAGTCAAGCATTTTGGGTGGTTGCACTGCCTAAATCACCCTTGTATTCCTATAAAGAGCATCAGAAGCTGTCCACAAGTCACTGAAACAGTGCAGTGAAAACATAATGTATTTATTTATTTCCCTTTTGTTTGGTTGGGATTTTTTTTTTAAGCTTGTACTTTTAACTTTTTTAATGGACTGAATCAGCTCCCTGAATAAGCACTGTTTTAGTAGCTGTTTTATGGGCTGCACATAAGGAATATCCACTACTTGTTCTCCAAGACATAAGTCTCACACAGTAAAATTCAACACCCTGTAATATAGGATGAAACTGAGGAATTTGCAATTACTGTTGTGACTTTCATTTAATCTTCAGCTGATGACTATGCTGACTGATCTAGATTAAAGCAGATTTTGCATGCATCCTGCATAACAAAAGAAGGTCAGCTTTGATATGTGACACACTGACCTGTAAAGTGTGGTTCTACTCCAGGAAGTGATTTCAGATGACAGTGTTCAGATCTGAGCTGCTCAACCTGAGCATTCTCAGCTGCTTACTTCAGGGATACAAATAAGGTATTGACATTTTACTACTTATTTCCTAAAGATTTAATTTCCTTGGCCTCAGTTTGTTGACTCTAATCCTCAGTTGCCTACCTTTACTTGCAACTGATGCAGACCAAAAGGCACTTAAGAGGTTAAATCTGGCTTTCAGAATCAAAAAGTGGAATATATGCTAGTGGGGTGGGGGAAAATCCAGCTGGATTTTAAATTGTGGCATCTCCTTTTAATCTATTAAAAAAAAAATCAAAATCAATTAAAATGCTGTCAACATGGAAAACAAAACACTGAAGTCTCTGATCTCACTTTTGAAAGTACACCCACACTTTATAATGCTGTTTTTAATCCTATGCATTTGCAAAGCCTTTAGGCTAGACTCTGTGTTAACCTTATCATTTCCACTGTCAAATACTAATCAGTATGTTAGTATATTAAAGGATAATATTGTTTATCCAGAAGCAAGTGTAACTTTTCTCCAGTAAGAAGGGGAACTAAACAGCTGGAGAAAGGAATACAACTTATAGGATTTAAAGCAGTAGTGTATGCAAAACATATCCTGGTCACATTTGGTTTGTTGAAGTGCAGCTCCTATAAATTTGCATACTGAAAATAAACTTATATACTAGGGCATCCTCCCTTTTATATTACATTTTACTGAATTAAATCTTGATAAAGAGATCATGGGCAATTTCAAAACAGACAGTACTTCTCTTGATAAAACTCCCCACAAAACTAGAATTAGAAGGGCACATCAATTTAGTATCAGAAAACATTTTATTCCTGTATCTTTGAGATAACAAGTAACAGTCCTGTCCTACTTCTGACAAACACTCTACCATTTGTGCCTGTGAACTAAATAGGGCTAGAAGGACTAGGGGACACCACAGGACAGGACAAAACTCCTGAGGGTAACATAACTTACTGGCAGAGGAACAACTGGGAAATTACTGATTTTGAGTTGAAAAACATTAAACTTAGGAAATATCCAAATTCTCATTTTTTCTAAGGAATGCTTAAGCAAAAGTTACATTGCTGCTTTAAATTCACTATAAAAGGACAAGGCCATTTTCACATTTAAAAAAATTACTGGTGGGATTTTCTGTTGAATTACCTGTGTCCTGCTTGAGCAAAACTAAGCATTTAATGTAACTGCAACATTCTGCACTGTATTCATCATTTCTTATGAGAATGTCAAGATTGTGGCTCATATGTACCCTTTTATTACTTTACCAAAGTTAAATAAAATTGTGTGACTTTTGTAAACATTTATAAATTGCATTTTACATTTTAACAACTTTCCTGTCTTACAAGCATCTTTAATGTTAGTTGAGAAATTCCAGTATAATTGCACTGAGAATAAAAAAAAAAAAAAAGAAAAGAAAAACCTAACGAACAAAAAAAAAACCCCACCTCTACTTGTTATACTGGAAATGTGTTTTTATACCAGGATTAAACAAAGACACCTTTTTTTAAATTCTGTTTGTGAAAGCCCCAGATGTACCTACACTTTGTAATTCTGCAGTTCTACCCACATAACATGGTGCCCTGACCTCCAGCACCATAAAGGCATTACTGCTGATTTTTTGCTTTAACACACAGATGAATAATGTAGACAGTGGAGTCTCAGTGTCTCCTTTACTTACTATGGGCCTAATTCTGTCCTGATGAAGTCAGCTGCCAGGAAGAAGTGGAGCCCAAACCATGAGTGAGCTGAAATGCATTGCACTGGTCACTAGGGATGTTTTACTGGTCACTGGGGATGTTTTTCTTCATTTTGAGCTTGTTTGCAATGACAGCAGCAGTTGGTCAGACTGTTCCATGGCAGCTCTGCCTGTTCTGAGAGTTTGTGGCTGTCACAGCATTCTCACAGCACACTGGAGCTGTTCAGTGAATTTGCTTTCTTGGAAAGGGTTCAACAAAAACAAACAAACCAACCAACCTCAGGCCCAAAAAGCTGTGTGTCCCCCCTGCCCCAGCGGTTCCCTGCTATTCCCAAAGACCTGGAAAAGGAAGGGACAAGCTGTTGGTAATCAAACACGTTAAGACTGTAGAACTTGAGTTGCAGTTACAAAGAAACATGCTACCACTCAGCTTTAGAATTTAAGTTTTTTATTTTTGCCATAGAAAGCTCTAAGAACTAATATCAAGTATCGATTAATGAAAAGTAGAACACAACTTTAAAAAGTATGTTAAGGAAGGACTGTACAACTATATACATCACAGATCTGGGAAAATCAAGAAATGTTTTCACATGGAACATTTCCTAGGCAATAGCTGTAGAATTCAGAGTTCAATGTATATAGTTGTCAGCTTCTGCATCTTTTATAAGCTGCATGCCTTAACAGTAAAAAATAAATAAGCAGTCAGTGTTATTTGTTAAACAAACAAATATTTGCTTAGTTCACATAGTGGAATGTTAGGTATGAATCCCCAAAGAAACCAGACAGTGAGGATGCAGCCACTGTTACCATATTCTGCAGCAGATCTGTTAATGGTTTATATGCATATAAATGACTGTAAGGTTTGCCACCACAGTCTGTTGAAATTTTTAATTTCTATATAAATGCTTTGTCAACCTTTTTTTTCCATTACCCCAAAGCCAATTTCTTAATATTTACATAAGTTTATTTCATTAAGTTAAACTGGAAGCTAAATGCTTACAAAAACAAACAAACCCACAAATATAAGTGCAACAGCCAGAAATCTAAATATAAAAGCTCGTGGCCGCATAGAAAGTTTTAGAAGTATGGATTTAACGTGTTTCCAAACCAATAAATACTGGAAGTGAAATAAAAAAAATGCTTTACATGACCTCTGGACTTTGGATATCAAAAATTATTTCCAAGGAAAACTGAAGACCCTGAGACACATGCAAGCACGAGTCTTCTAGCAAAAATAGTTACAAAGCCCTAATTTTCCAGTTTTCCTCCAAAAAGAGACCTTTAGTAGGCACAGTTTAATTTAAGGTTTGAAATATACCAGCAGCAAACAGTGATAGCCATTATATTTAATTTTGTACACTTTGCAATGTATGCTTAATTCCAGATCCCTGTACAGGTCATAAGAATTGGACCTGATCGTCCTTGAGGGTCCCTTCCAACTCAGAATGTTGTGTGATTAAACGTGTCATGTCAGTAACAAAAATAACATTGTATTTGTCTTGTCAAAGTTCAAGAATTCCCGTCATAGCACCAGCCAGCTAGGGCAGAACCACCTGTGCCAACACAGGCAATCCACACTCATGTTGCATAAGGATTATGTTTGACTGCTGCAATGCCACCTCAGATAACACCCCACCTGGAACACTTAAAGCATGCCCCATTATATTCCCAGGGGTCTGCAATATGATCTGGAAATCATCAGTGTACCACATTCTTGGCCAACAAAAGAGAAGTGCAGAGCATTACAAGTGTAAGGTAAACAAATCCTCCTCCCACCGTTGCTCACAGGGATTTCTGGTATCCTTTTCTGTAGCTCGAGTTATATTTGAATCATTTACCATTTAAGCCTTTCTGTCTAGAGTCCTGTATGTCCAAAATCCTGACTTTGACAGTCATAGGATCAAGATGCTTGCTTAAAACATGAAAAAGGAAAGAAAAACCTGTAACTGGAATTTAAGCAATGAAAGGTTGCAATAACTAACTAGTACTACGCACGACAGTCTTTCTCAGTCATCTCTAGAACTTGAGCAGTTTTTATATTACCATTTACAAAAATTCAACAAGTCACTAAATCTGAAGTGCTAAACTATGACTTGGTAAACAGCCATTTGTTTTTCTCAGATCTACCATTTCCTCATCAAGTTGGACGTCTCATTAATCTTCTAAGAGCTTAAAAATGTACCAAGTGCAAGGAGAAAAAGAACAACATAATAAACCCAAACCTGAAAACAGAAGACAACTAGACAACCACAGAGAAATTATACTTTAGATTATGGTGAATAAAGGGTATTTTTGGATCGTTGGTTTAGTCTTCACGCTTCCACAATCTATAAATGGGGGAGAAAAAAAATCCAAATCCCTGTTTCACTTGAAGATCTAGACAAACAGTCGTACAAGATCCTCAGCAGTCTCAGTGCTGAACCAATACAGCATTTACATGACTTCCCAGTTTTGAGAAGCCTTCAGCTAAAAACAAAACAAAACAAAAAGATACTGCTTTTACCAAAAGTATTACTGTTTTTAAAATTCCAGACTGAAGCCCTTCTTCTTGAAGAGTGAAAGAAGGAACATCACTTTGTATCAAACTAACTACTGGCATTTTTTCCAGCATTAAAAAAACCTGACCTTATTCCTCAAGCTTTAAAACAGTAAAATAATCTCCTTCCTAAGTGTTTTAAGCTTCTTCACTACAGAGCTTTGTAGGTTTTGGCTTTTTATCCCCATTGCAAAAAGAATAAAATATGATGGTTCAGACAGTGAATACTCTGCTCACCATCCTGCCAAGTGTAAATAAAGTTTGTTCAAGTTAGCCCTGATTATCTCTCATTGACAAAACCATCATCTCAAAGACAGATGATTTATAATGTTTATAAAAGCAAAACTAAGATGCTAGCTCAAAAATACATTACTCCAGTCTAGTAACAGCTCATTTATTTTGGCCCCTTGCAGTAATGCACTGTTCACAAATGTGAGGTGTGGGATTATTTTTTTTAAATGGTTCCACGACCAAGAGACAATGAAAAAAAGCCTGTTTTCTTGGTTAACATCTAAACAGAATTCAGCATTAAAGTGCTAACATGAAATAAAGGGTTTACATAGTAGGTATGGGTACAGAAAATAATTCAGTTATTTTAGAAATATTTCTAGGTCTTTAGAAGAAATTGTACCTTTTCAAGCTACAAATCCTCATGTTTTGATCAAATTTAACATACCAGAAAACACTGCCAGCTCCTTAGAAATGTCTTCCTCTCTATTCAGATAAATTTGAAATGAATTGCTTCCACAAATCACTGCAGATAACATAATCCAGACAAGTGTTACCATTTTGGTGACTTTGTAGAACAAGTTAGCTTGTTTTGACTTTAACCTTTTATTTTACAGCTATTTTAACAGTCCTGTTAAAACAGCTGCAATATTTCTGCACTGAATCCTTTTTTTCCAGCACTTAATGCATTTCAGTAAGACTCTGGTATTACAAACTCAAACTCAGTACTTCCCTCTGACGGATTTTGTTTGAACATTGTTTCGTTTCCCGGCGGAACGAAAATGTCGTCCCAGCTAATTTGTTTGGCCGG